GAGAACAAAAGAGAGAAGAAACTGTGTGTGTGTGTGTGGGGGGGGGGGGTTATTACAATAAAGACAAATTACAGATTAGACAGTGACCTTATGATAATAACCTTGACAATTTAGGAGGGGGAAAATACTTTCTCTCCCTTCGTCACTGGAGTCAAGTTGCCCCTGAGCAAGGCACTTAACACCATAAGAGCCTCAGTGAAGCAGCTCAGTGTGCAGTTGATGACTGTGGTCATTCTGGGAAACTTCCATGTGTAAAACTGCTTAAAAATGTAAACATTGTGACATATTTTTGCACGTTAGCTTCCCCAAATGAGAGGGAGAGGTTTAAAGGGCTCGCCTCATTGCTGTGCTATATGGTTTTAGACTAAAAAAGCAAAGAAATTGGAACAAGGTTGAATCTCTTCATATAGTCATATAATCATTTAGTCATATAAATCCACAACTGAGAATTGTAAAACAAATTTTTATATGAAAAGAACAGAAAAGAAATACTCTAAACTTCAGATTAGTCACTAGTATGAGATTTCCCACCAATGTCTATAACAGTCAAATTGAATTTGGGTAGAATGGAGCTGCTCCACTTTGAGCATTAGCCCAAGAAGACACATTCATTTCAGCGTATCAGAATCTTGCTTAGATTTTACATGCTCAGCATCAAGTAACTGAAGTTTGGTAAGGGTTACTAAACAAAGATTTGAGGAACTGTTGTGGGAAAGAGGATGCAGGAGCATGTCAAAACACAGCAACAGTGTTATAAGGAAACAGGAAGGTAACCCATGATTAAAAAATAAATTCTGATCCTTAGACCTATTGACTTCTCACGTGAGCAACATGTGCGCAGGATGATTATGTGTAATTTATTTGTGTTGATACAGTCAGCATGAACACTTCTACTTGTCTGCAGGCCTTTATCTCCTGCTGACTGATTTACATTCAAGTCGTGTTTTACTGTCTGTCATATCCACTGATTGTGCTGTACAGTATGAGAGCAGAATGAGAGCAAAGAGGGAGCTTGTGTTTTTGTGTGACACAGATATAGAAGTGTCAGAGCATATGTGTGTGTGAGAGAGAAGACAGATCTAACAGCATGTGTGTACACAAGAGACAGCCAACAGAGTGTGTGTGTGTGTGTGTGTGTGTGTGTGTGTGTGTGTGTGTGTGTGTGTGTGTGTGTGTGTGTGTAAACCAGCCCTCAGTGTGATTTATATCACATCTCAGTGTCTTCTTTTGCTTTCAGTGCAGTTCTGAAAAACTCAGTATGCCCGTCCCTCCTGCTTACAGTCATTAAATGAGAGCTTTAAGTTTGCACTTGTTAAGTCTTAAAACTAAAATCAGTTTTGGTCCTTTTAATTGAACAGAACAAACCGAGCTTTGTGTTTACAATGAGGCTATAACAGTTTTGGGGTCACTGCTTTTTTATTTTGCTTTTTTCACGAGTGTCAGGCCACCTTACTTTCTACATGCTTTGGGGGCTAAAGTGTATTCAAATGGTTGCAATCTGCATCTTCACCTCTAGATTTCATTGAATCCTTTAATCCGAAATAATCTGACACTAAATGAAGAAAATGTTGCATACGAGCAGCTTATAGGAAGGAACATTACAGCAGGGCTGAAACACTTTGTGATCTCTTTCACAAGGTGTTGTTGCAGTTGCAGCAGCGATCAAAACAGCTGTGGGTTTCGTTATTGGTTCGCTCCGATCTAAATCTGTAGCAAGCATTCACCTCAGTGTTTGCCAACCATTGGTTGAGAAACATACTAGCAAATGAGTAAGCATGCATAATGTACCTCTTTCCAGAGACATAACGTAACCTATCTTCGATTGAACATGGTCAACACAACTCCCAAAATAGGTGCTAGCTTCTTGTATCCAATACCTATGATACAATCTAGGCTAACCTGACTAGCATGGTTACAATCGACAATGGTCACACTGCCAAAGCTTTTTAAGTGGAACTAACACCATATGCAAAAATATGGCTGCAGGTTAATCATTCTGCATACACAGAGTTGATAAAAGACGTAGGTAAAGTAAGGTAAACACTGATAACTAAAAGTTGATAGACTATACAATAGTATCAGGATCAAGAAACCTTTTCATGAGCATATAAGGCAGGAAGAGCCTTAAGTTAAGGACCCTTTCCAGGTTTATTGATAGGCAGACAGGGTAGTAAAAGGTTTCAAAAACTGATATATTGTTTTACATATTACTGATTAACAAGATTTAGAGTCTCTGTGAGGCTAAATGTCAATGTCCACATGCTATCATGCTCACAATGACAATTTAAACTACAGTTAATTTTACAGTTTAAAAAAGGTACCGTGTTCATAAGCTCAGTGTTTTAGCATGTTAATGTTTGCTAATTAGCACTTAATACAAATTATAGACTAAGGCTGTGTTATGTTCAAAGTTCAAAAAATGGCAATGGCAATCAATGCTCAACAGTTCTTCAGTTCTAGGTTTGAAAACGATCAATTGGAAACTCCATCAATGTTCTTAAAAATATAAAATAAAAAAGCATGCTATACTCAAACTTCATGTGAACCTCATAAAGGTGAACTGTAGCACACATAAAGCGTTCTAATTGCTACTGCAGTTTTCCTCCATGGTCATGAGAATATTTAGGCCTCGAAAAGGGATAATGGGCCAGGAAAGGCTAAGGAAACCAGGGCCAAGGTGTTACCGCAACACTGTCGGAGTGCTGTTCTGACAGCTGCATCTCTTACAGCTGGTTGCTTGTTGGCGAATCAACTGTTCTCCAATAATATTTAGAATTTGCTCTGGAAATGGTGGGAGCAAAATTAAAGACTCACATAGAACCAATCACTTGCTGGAGAAGCAACGTTTATACAAAAGGGCATAATGACTGGACTGCATCGTGTGTTTAAAAGTGTCAGATGTGTGTGGCGTTTTAGAGACGAGCGAAAGCTAATGTGGACAAACACTGTTAATATGCAGCTCTTAGAGAACAAGCCTGTTGTTGAGAGAGAGGAAAAGAGAGAGAGACAAATAAAGATAGAGAGAGAGAAAATGAGAGCGCACATTGTGGGGTCAAGCATAAGCCTGGGCACAGAATACTGTATATGTGTATGTGTATGTGTATGTGTATGTGTGTATGTGTGTGTGTGTGTGTGTGTGTGTGTGTGTGCGCTCACTGGCTCGCCACCCTGTCTCCAAGATAGTGTTGTTGGAACACAATGAAGCCCATTCAACTCCGGAGCCACCTCCTGTCTGTAGAATAGTGCTGTATCACAGCTCCTGATGGGGTGGGAGCGTGTGTGTGTGTGTGTGTGTGTGTGTGTGTGTGTGTGTGTGTGTGTGTGTGTGTGTGTGTGTGTGAGAGTGTGTGTGTATGAGTCTAACGCCCACAAACACTCACATAATCCTCCATAAAGCCATGTTTGGATTGTCATTACGTTGATGTAATACCATCGTGAGCACATGTGACGACGGGATGGCGTGTGAATTATACTAACTACAGACCTTTATCATGTAATGTTAGTGCACTGTGACTTGCTTTTATGACGGCTCTTCATCATGTCGCATGTTTAACTCACACAGGGCGACCTAATGGGCCTTAAAGATCATCAGTGATGGATAATAACACATAAATACCCATTTTTAAATATTAAAAACTCAATATAGATATGGAAAAATGGCCAGCTGCAGCGCTATAGCTGTAATCTCCTGTGACAACATGATATATGGCAACATTAGTGTGGTATTACATGTTGTAGGTATTGTAGGTTGAAGAGCAGAGCCAGGCTTTTCATAAAGCAGCCTTTCATGAGGAAAAGATTTAAGTCAATACGCTACTCAACACTTGACTCATAAGTGTGAGAGAATCGGTGTTTCCAGAAGGTTGCAACCCACATGTCAACATATTTCAAGGCTGAGCTGTACGAAGTAAAACGTAGGGTTTCTTGATATGATAAAAATATTATACGATTCACGTTTAGTGTGAGAATAATCATTTTTGCATCTCAAATTAATTTTCACTTAAAAAAAAAAACTTTCTAAAACCTGGAGTTTTATAGGCCAGGGCATCTCCTCAACACTACAGTAAATTATGTTTTTTTACACATTTTACTTTTGTGAAAAGAATTGGAATTTGCTATTTGAATATTGCACTTGGCCATATTGCGATTTCGATAATATTGTGATTAACTGTGCAGCCCTAGTTAAAAGTACTTGTTTTCCACAGCGGTAGTCATTTTAGGCAGTGTTTCTTATAAACTGACCTTATTTTGGCAGGCCACTCAAATAGATTTGCTCCCATTCACTTAGATTTCTTGGTATTATTGTAAACTTTGTGTGCAGTCTGCAGCAGTGGTGCATTCATGTGCGATCATACTGGGGAAAAGACTTCTCTAAGGGTTGGGTTGTGAATGGCATTTACTTATGTAAAGTAAGTATATTTACTTGTGAGGAAAATATGTAAATAAACTTCAGGAGGTACTTGATTATTTCCATTTTACATTACTTTATTCCTCTACTGCATGGTGTTTCAGAGGGAAATATTACTTTATTTTAGCCATGCTAGAGATTTTTGATCTAGACTGACATATCTAAACTATTTGATGGATTGCAATACATTTTGGACACACATTCCTGATCCCCAAAAGATGAATCCTAACAGCTTTGGATATTTTTCAATTTGAACCATAAACATGTCAGAATTTTAATTTGTTCAGTACATTAGTTTGTGACCAAATACCTGCAAAACTAATGACCTTCCCATTTACAAGACAAGCCTTAAATACTTGCCAGCAACGTGAGACAGACAAACAGTCTGCAGCGATATCTTTGTTTAAGCACGTTAGAATATGACCTGCACACATTGTTTAAGTAGCCACCGATCTGAAAGAGTATCTTGATGATGTATATAAAAGGTGTGTAAGACTGACCCGTCATTTAACAAAGCTGGTAAATGAAAGCTGGCCCGTGTGTGTAGTGTGTGACCTAGATGCTCCACAAACACAAAAAGTCCCAAACACACCTGATCTCTCACATGACCTTTCCGTACAATCCGTCTTCCTTCCAGATAATAGCTGCGGGTCAGTCACACCTATTCAGCTCGTCATTGTCTTCCAGGCATCTACGACAGAGATACAGTGCCAGTGGGAGTGGTGTCTGCTTACAACCTTTACAGCACAAAAAAGCACCAGTGGAGTGAAACATCAAGCACAAATACTCTGTGTTCAGTATTTACCTAAGAGGCAGGGAGGGCAGGAAGGTGTGCTGCTCTTACACGGCCCTATTGTTTATGCCAGCAACACGCAGGAGGAAGGAAAAATATTTCCTGAATCAGGTCCAAATGTGATAGGTTTGGGCTATGATAAAAATTAATCCCTAGGTAAATTAAAAGTGTCCCTGGCTTTGCGCTCATTGGAAAATGTTGAACATGTGCTTCCTGATCTTAGTAGAGAAAGAGATCCTTATTTTAGTCAATAAATTGTACGCTTAAAAGCACAACTGGGGCTCTGTACATTTGACTTAATCTGACTTTTCCAGTTCTCCTCTTTTTTCCATTTCTTATGAAAATAAGTTAAAAGACTATGTGAATCATTCATGTACTTGTGAGAAAGTTAATGTTCTACAAGAGTCACAGGTTTCATTACCACATGAGCCACAGAGCTAGAAAATGTACTACTAGCAATACTTTGGAAAAATGTATTACGTTACTAAAGGATATTTGGAAGGAATTGATGTATGTCTCTTAGGTTTAAAGTTGTAGCTCCCTAACAAACTCAAGTATATTGTGATATTGATCTCAAAACATTGTATCATTTATCTTCAACAAACTGTCAAATTTCAAAACCTAACAACATAAGCATGCACCAAATCAAATTCACAAATTCAAATACACCAGGGTAAAATGTGGCTGAAAGCTCTGAAAAAAGTAATTAAAAGACAAAATTGAGAATATTTATAGAATACATGAGTGAGATTTAGGAATTTCTATCTTTCAACATATCACTCTGAGATGCAGACATACATGTTTCAGCAGGGGTTAGAGGTCATAGAAAATCGCTTCCCTGTATTAGGTATAATCGTATCAACAGCAGACCTTATGAGATGGTGTGTTGAAGTACCAGACTCCCCAGCTGCTCAGTATGTGTGCAATTAGTTTAACAAAGGCACATGCCATCTACTAATGATATGTAACTATGCTAGACACATAGATGATGCCATGAGGAACAGCAAGGTGTGATATGATGAATATTCCCACATCCCACCATCCTCATTAAAATGCATCATTCATTCTCACACACACACACACACACACACACACACACACACACACACACACACACACACACACACACACACACACACACACACACACACACACACACACACACACACACACACACACACACACACACACACACACACACACACACACACTCCTCCATTCTTGGCTTATAGACTAAATCAAATCCAAGCCTCAGGTGATTACAACAAATGGGAGGAGGGGACTTAAATAACACTTTCACAAGCCTCGGTGATAATATGAAATAATAGTCGCAGTGAAATATCACAAATTCAATTTATGGTTTTGGGCAAAACCTTTTGGATCAAGTACTAAAATTAAATTCTAACCCTTTCAGAGATGTTTCATTTTAATATGAAGAACACATAGTTAGAAAAAAGAATCGCAATCTTTCATCCACTGCAGGGTTTCACTCTCTCAGTACGTTTAACGGTGATTGTGGACCATGTAGGAGAAACCAGCCGGTGCTGATAATGATATAAAAAATGTTATATCAATAATACTACTAATTAAAAATCTTTAACAGAGCAAGCATTAATAATGTCTGAATCAATGTCGTCTAGTTCGATTCTGATCTCAAGCGCCAGACAACACTCTTCCCAGCATGCCACAGTAGAAGTGCTAATGTGTTAACAAAGCTACCAGTCTCGCCGTGCTGTCACAGCATTTTTAAGCTGAGACAGCTGAAATGTCATACTGAAACCCAACCTTTACAAAAACACAAAACCGATGATAAATATGGTTCAATGTCAACTGACTCATCTTACGCCAAGCGTCACGTTGCCCTTGGCGACTCATACTCAGCTGTAAGAAAACCAAAGCCTCAGTAGGTTTTAATCTTTACTGCTGGCTGCATGTATGTGCGCTGATGAAAGAATTTAAGATTAACCTTCTACCCATCCATAGGTCATTTGAAATAAGAGCATTAATATGGAGGAAAGAGTGTGAATCCCAACAACAGTGGGTTTCAGCTTAACTCTGCCTACACAACGGCTCCGTCTTAATGGTACTGAGAGCAGATCTAACAATGGCAACTCTTCATGAGTCATATTGTTAATATAAAAAAAGTAGAGCCATAGCTGGAGCAATACTTATTACCGGGGCTATAAAGATTAACAGAGACATGAGTCCGAGATTCTATACACAAACAAAAATCGGACAACAGCAGCCATCCAGCCCTCCACAACATCCCACACTCTGTGCAATGCTGCCTGAAATCTTTACATTGCATTAGCAGTCTTCAAAACGTGCAATAAAATACACCAATGGCAGCACACACCCTGCCAATGAGGCAATGTGTGCACTGACAACAGTTAACAGCTAATGCCACTTCCAATTACCCCCCTAACTCCTCCAAAGTAGTGAAACCATGTGCCCTTTTATGTACTTAAAAATGCATGTGTACGGCATTATTGGAGATACTAAATTCAGAGGGATGACACAGATACTGACAAGAATTGACGTAGACACCCAGTCAGCAGCTTTTAATTAAAACCTTCATCATCCCTAGAGACTATTCAAAATGTGTATCACTGACGGTGTTTACTAGTTTGTGTGGCAGAGGAGATAATTTTTTCTAAATCATTATTAGAAATAAAAATTAAGGAAATAAGTGATTTGTTTTAGTCTCACTAAAAAGTAAAAATATCAAATCCTAATTGCGTGAAATTGTTTATGGGGCGTCCTGGTGTCAAGGACCCCCAAATTCAAATTTGATACACGTCAGGCCATGGACCCGTATTTGATAAGCTAGAGCTTCAGGGATCCAATAAAGATCCCATAATTATCAGATTTGACAAACAGTTTTGTCACTCGGATTATCCTGCTTTTGTCTATGAGCATTGTGTAAGTCTTGAACCGTCACACAGTTTTATGCATCTGGCCTCCATGTGTAAGTACAATCCTGAAATACAAAGCACCTCACGACCATCAAGGCTTTCCTGTTGGCTACAGCCTGCAGGCGGGTGGGCAAGGGTTTGGGGACGCGTGGCGAATGAACAGTGTAATGAAGTGGGAGGAACTCCAGTGAGACCCAACAAGAAGAACAGACAGATGGACCACAAATGAACACATTTTACAGAATTATATATTAAGATCCAGCAGCAGAGTCTTTCTGCAGGGACCACAGTGCAGCATGGCGCCTTAAAAAAAAAGGGGGGGCTTTCCTGGGCAAACTGAGGTGAAGCAGAGCTCTTCCAGTTTTTGCAGCCTCCTTAGGCAGTGTGTGTGTATCTGTAGGTGTGTGTGTGTGTGTGTGTGTGTGTGTGTGTGTGTGTGTGTGTGTGTGTGTGTGTGTGTGTGTGTGTGTGTGTGTGTGTGTGTGTGAGAGAGAGAGAGTGAGTGTTCAGTAAGCACTGGGCCTCTTTCCCAGATGAGAATCTCTGCTGCACGATAATCCTGATGAAAATGTCTTTCCTCTTCCCCTCTCTGTCATTCTCTCCATCCATCCATCTATCCATCCGTCCGTCCGTCCGTCCATCCACAGACTAACTGTTGGCTGGCCACCCTCGCTTTTCCTCTCCCACCTTTGTTCATCTCACCTCCCTCACACTACCAGTGACAGACTCCCCACTGACGTTAGTATCTCTCAAAAGCCAAAACAGAAAAGTAATGCGATGACTGTGTCATTGTCATTCTTGTAAAACCTGTCAAATTGCTTTTGTAATTTCCTGTCTGTAACTTTCAACTTGGTCTCCACTTATCTTTTTGCTGTTTATTCTTCCCTTTTTGTCTGCTCACCTTTAGCCTCTACTTGTGTGCATGTTATTAAAGACTTACTGTGTGTAAAACGATAAGCATCTTTTTCATAGGAACCCTTCCTCAATCCAGCACTGACATCAGAGTGCTTTCTAGAAAAAAAAATCTTTATTGTTCTCAGCACCTTAAGTTAAAAACAGTGTCTTCCTTTTTGTGCTTAGGGAAACAGTGCAAGCATCATCTGCTATTTTAAGGCAGTTTTTCAGAATCATTTAAGTATACGCTGCAGGCTCGCAGGAGGCAATAAAACAAGTGTGTCAAAAGAGAGTGCGTGTTGCATGGAGACGACCTTCAAGCCATATATACACTGCATTATTATTTTCAGAAGCTTACTAGCAACAATATTTTTGTCAGGAGTGGGGGCACTCCGAAAAATATTACATTACTATAACTAATATAATAATTATAAATATTATATATTTCAGTAATAATTCTGTCCAAAGGTTTACATAACATAGTAATATATATGTGAATATAGGGCATTCTTAAGCAAAGCTTCTTCCTGAACTTTTTAAATCTACTTCATAAGTGTACAGAGATGAGAGGAAAAAGAAGAGAAACTGGAGGGACACACACACACACACACACACACACACACACACACACACACACACACACACACACACACACACACACACACACACACACACACACACACACACACACACACACACACACACACACACACACACACACACACACACACACACACACACAGTGTATCTTGCTAGTTAGTTTACACTCAACACACTCCCTAAGGTACATTTGTCAGAAAAATACCCTGTAAGGTACGAAAAAGGTCCTTAAGGTGATAACTTTGTTCAATTATAAAAAGTAAAAAATCCTGGCTGACAGAAAGGGGTATAATTGTACTTTTAACAAGCTTTAGGTAGAGGGAAATGTTACAACAAATCAGTGATTAGAAAATCTTGATTTAAATAGAGAGTTGGGTTTATTGAAATAAAATAGGCTGCTAGTAGATTTCCATTCAATTCTTGAACTGGCCTGGGAATAATTTCATGAGCAAAGAACTAGGACAGCACTTCCATTCAGCTTTTTT